TGCTGAATCAGATTTGGATTCAGGGAGTTGAAGGGCTCACTTATCCTGTGAAGAGTATCCCTAATGCTGGAGTGAATTTGAATTGCCTCTCCTTGATACATAGCCCTTCCATAAAGCAAAAATAGGATGGAAAACAGGTGAAGATGGAGTATGAAAACATGAAGACTTATCTGAACCCTCAAAATTTAAATGCATCAGGCTTTTTTTTGGTATCTAGGAATTGGTAATATTTTTACTTTTTCTACTGTATTTGACCATGCCTAATGGAAGAGCTTACCAAATCAAATTATTACAAGCACAAAATCCTACCATAATTATAGATGGCAGAAGGTATAGGAAAAATAATATACTGACATGTATATGCATTACTGATGATGAAGGAACTGCTGCTACATGTTTGCCTAAAGAAGATTTTTTAAATGCCTCCCTGACATACCCACAGAAAAATCCACAAGAACAAACCAGCCAAAAAACCCTCCGTTGGCATCACAATTGGGAAAATTCAGGGGCTCCCCCCAAGGCAGACCAGGGAGACGCAGAGCTAGCGCCTCCCCAGCAGACCAGGGAGATGCGGAGCGGCTTTTCTCGCCGTGGAGGACGCGGGCGGTGGGACCGCTACTGGACCAACCCGGCAGCGCCCTAGCTGCTCTGTCTCAGGCGTCCAGATTCAGCCGCTGTTGAAACGGAACAGCGGCTGATTCCAGGAAGCCCGGGGCAGAGCAACTTTGCCTCGGGCTTCCTAAAGTCACCTGCTGGTCAGTTTCAGCAGTGGCTGACTTGGGAACACCTGGGGCAGAGCAGCTGGGGTGCTGCTGGGATGGCCCAGTAGCGCCAAGGAGCAGCACTGCGGGACAAACCCAGCAGCACCCCAGCTACTCTGCCGCAGGCGTGTCCGATTCAGCCGCTGGTGAAACTGATCAGCGGCTGATTCCAGGAAGCCCGGGGCAGAGCAACTTTGCCTCGGGCTTCCTAAAGTCACCTGCTGGTCAGTTTCAGCAGTGGCTGACTTGGGAACACCTGGGGCAGAGCAGCTGGGGTGCTGCTGGGATGGCCCAGTAGCGCCAAGGAGCAGCACTGCGGGACAAACCCAGCAGCACCCCAGCTACTCTGCCGCAGGCGTGTCCGATTCAGCCGCTGTTGAAACTGACCAGCAGCGGTTGAATCTGGACGCCAGTTCCGACTTACATACAAATTCAACTTAAGAACAAACCTACAGTCCCTATCTTGTACGTAACCCGGGGACTGCCTGTACTGCTAAGCATTAATCTGTAGTGGATCGTTAGACATCCGGATGCCTCATCCTCACCAGGGACGTACTAAAGTCCAATTATTTGTACTCGTGCTCCAGTACTAAGGGATATGCCATACAAACCTTTTTAGAATGACAATGATCTAACCATATTTTCTAGGTGTTTCAGGCTAAGAAGTTCAGCTAAAACACAACTCTAACTCAGGCACATTGTAGATAACTACTTCCTGTTTAGCAGGAAATCTCCATCCACTATTACAAAATGTACTTCCCAATTATATACTTCTGAACACGTGATTTATACCTCTACCTTTTCATCTGACATTGTAAAGGGATTAGGGGCAAATTCCGTATGAGATTGCACAGCAGAGGTTTTCTGAGTAATTATTTTTATTTTGCAGCTAGCAGTGGTAACAGAGGTTTCAAAATGAATTAAGGTTGTTAAAGAGTGGTTAATTAAGTAACTGTGTAACCACTGAAATCTTAGCTTATACTGCAGAGCCCACAATGCAGCCAGCTATACAAGAGCAGGGCTGGCAGCCAGTGGGCACTGGGAGTCGATTCCTTGCTCCACTCCCAGGGAGCCAGCTGCGTGTGGACTCTACAGTATAAGCTGATAAGGAGGCAGCACCACAAGGTGACCGCTTGCTCCCTGGGAGCAGGGCTAGGGCCAGCGTGTAACTGCTACCATAACCAATAAAACTATTTAAAAACAGTTATATTATTACATCCCTAAAAGGAATGTGCTCTTTCACATGGGACATTCTAGATTTTCTTCAAGCAGTCTTGAATGCAACTTTAAGGTTTCATGATTAAAGGTTTCATAATTAGGGTGTGCAGATTAGGTTCTACCAGCAACATTAACTCACCGGCATTGTTCATGCATAGCATTTTCATTTTTATTTTTATGGTTCAGTGTTGAACATGTTAAAAGCTCAATATTACAAGTTTCTTGTCTAAAATATAACACAACAAGATGTGCACCTTGGCCAAGATAAACCACTGTCACTTTTTATTTCCAGCAGATGCTTTCTGACCATTCCTAGAAGTGACTTTTTTTTTAAACTCACCCAAGTTCCAAGCCAAGCAAAGGCCTTGGTATACAATGGGAATTATGTCCAAGTTCAAAGTGTCAGCCAATTGTTCTGTATCCTTTTTTTTTAAAAAAAAGGGTAGTCAGACATTTAAAAAAACCCATGGGAAATGTATATTTTTCCATTTTCCCAAAACTCAAACAGATTAAGTGACTTTGCCAAAAGTTGCTGTCAAAGTCTAGTTATGAAAATTCCACCCCAAAGGCAACAGTTTAGGAATGTTTTAACTATTTTAATGGACACTGGCTGTTCTAATAGAAATTAATATGCAACAATAGCAGGCATGACTAGCATATACTATAAACAGTCTACAATAGGACCATAAAGAAAAAGATTATTGCATCCTTATTGTTCATGTGTTGTACCCTATTTTCATACCTGTTTTAGTCTTGCAAGTTCTTTCAAAGCCCTTGCCCACTGTTGCTTGTAGTGCAGCTTTGACTTGGTGGCAGATTCCAACTTTCTTTCAAGTTCAACCTTACGGTGATTAAAATCATAATCAGCTGAAGCACTATACTTGTGGTAACAGTCATTGAAAGATTATATATACACAATAAGAGTCCGTTTAAGAAAAGCGTATTTGCAGTATACCATACAACATCACCCAAAGCTGTTATGTAAATATTATGGCACATGAACATTTTCTTGTTTAAATATAGCCTTATTTTTATTGTCTCGCAGTCTATACAAAAACGAACTAGATTAGTCTTAGCCCCAAGATAGCTAATGTAAACTTTTGTTTAAAGAGCTACAAAGCAATGAAAAATGCATTTATTTTTCTATAATAAGCTCTAATTGTTAGCATTCCAGTTCAAGGGGCACTCTAAACTCTTAGGGCCAAGTCTTCGCCTTAGGCAGCTCTTATTAAAGCCAGTAGGAGATACATGTCAGTGCAGAATTTGGACTTTTGATGGGAGGTGGGGGAAAGAATCAGAAAAGTTGGCACAGGTTCATGTGTCCTGCTATACTCAGTGGGGCCGACAGCCATTATGGGCCCCAGGGCAAGAAATGTGGGTAACAAGCTCCATGCCCCCAAAAGTGGGGAAGTGGCAGGGCAAAAGGCAGTCAGCCTTTAGGGTCACCCAGACTATGGCACGCCTCCCACAACCCTCAGAGACATGCAGAGTGGCATTCCGTTGACAATTCAAAGAGACCTCTGCCACAGTACCAGTGGAGGCTGGCAGCTCCAAGCCCCTTTGAATTTCTTGGACATGGGGCAATTGCCACCTTTGTTCCATATCTGTACACAGGTAAATTTGCTCCAGAAAGTTACAAAATACTTTGTTGCTTAATTAACCATTGAGAAAGATACAAAATCAACTAAACAAATATTTGATGATTATATTAAAATGGTAAAACATGGTAAGAGGTAATTACAGTTAAAGGCAAATACTTTTCCAGGTTCTATGTGATATATGAGAATAAGAACTAGGCACCAGTGTTCATATTAAAAATACTTATTTTTACATGCACTAAGCAGTCTGTTATACCCGCATTAAAGCCAACTTGCATAATTTTCAGGAATGCACTGCCTCAATGCCTCAAACTAAGAACCAAATTAATTACTGTGGCCAATACAGAGTTTGGAGTTTTAGTAATAGAAAATCTGTCCAAGTTTCAGTATAAGTTCTTCAATTCTTATCTGACAAGTTGTGATATAGAATGGCTAGTTTTATCATTTCTAAATTAGGGATCTAAGCGACTATGGGTATAAGCTTATTGGGTAGTCAAGTAGTGACTCAACTGGTCACTTCCCCTCTTCCCGCTGCCTCTATCAGAGGGTATGTCTACACTACCCCGGTAGTTCGAACTAGCGGGGTAATTTATGCATACCGAACTTGCTAATGAAGCCCGGGATTTGAATTTCCCTGGCTTCATTAGCATAAAGCCGGCTCCGCCATTTTTAAAAGCCGGCTTGTTCGAATCCCGTGCCGCGTGGCTACACGCGGCATGGGCTAGATAGTTCGAACTATGTAGCCATTCCGATCTATCTGTACACC